AATATCGTAAATATATTTTTTACATTAATGAAACTAATCGAGTCTAATGGTACTGAGAAACGCGAATTTACAATTTTTATACAATTTTATTAGAAGAATACTCTCTTTTTGTGAGATTTTCGATATTATCACAGAAACATAATTGATGCGTTGGGGATTATCAAAAACGGCCGAAGTAGGTGGAAGGCTTGCGATGAAGGAATAATTGTGTGAGAACTTCGCATAGCAATCTTCCAATAAAAGATAATAAATTGCATCTCTTGTAGGTGAGTGTAAATTGAAATATTTATCTCGTGAGAGAACAACGCTGGTGAAGCAGCTGCACCATATTTAGATTGAAATTCAAAGCGGCCTGTAGGTCAAAAGATCACATCCACGTCGTATTTTTTCCTTATAATAACAGGGTAACCTCTCGAAAGAGGTGAACGGGTCAGAGTGTGCGAGAGATTTCTTCGTGATTTTCGCAAACCCTAAGGGAAGGGCTCGCCAAGCCTTTAAGCCAAAAGTCTCGAAGTTTACGTAAAGCTTCTGAGAATTGACAACGCTCGAGAGGAGTTTTCGGGGACTCTCGTAGGTCTGCCCAGTATTTTTCTGTCGAGGTTGGATTTTTATCCGACTGCCCGAGAAGTCGTGCTTTATAATTCATAAAAGTTAAAGGTTAACGGTTGGTCAATCTCATCGGACGTATAACAGAGCTCTGACATTTAAATTATCAAAAATTCAAAACTTTTTCCGGATCGAATGACATTGAGAAATGCTGTCCTGAAGTTATTTTCAGCATTTTTTCGCTAGAGCAGTTCAGCTGAATATTTTCCACATAACATATGTAGATGCGAATTTATGAATATTAATTATGATGTGAGGAATTTTGTTTTCTCAACATTTCAATTTCGCAATTTTGTGCTAAGATTACTATACTGCTATTCACGTAAATTTAATTATCCAACGAGAATCTATGCGAAAGAAGTGAAGATCTCTTGAAAAGTTTGAAGGGTCGACAGAACGGGATATTGGAAGACCAGAGGCGAACGGTTGGAAATTGTAAGAAAATGCATCGAAAGCGAAAAGAGTTCACCACTGTGCGAAATCATGTCAAAAGGAGGAAAATTAAACTGCCATCAAACTTGAGAAGTTTAGATGTTGAGTCAAATAAGAAAAAAAAATTTTTTTTTTAATTATTATAAAATATGTATTCGAGAGATATTTATTTCACACGTATTCTTATTTATCACGCGAAATATATATACGTTTTTTTTCACTTTTTTTACATGAAGTATTATATTAAAAGTTGTTGTTAAAAGATTTGATAACGTGCAATTTAGATGCGAAAACTTTGATACTTGAATATTAAATATTTGTGAAACACAATGAAATATGAGTAGATACAATAAAGACGAGCGTTCATAGCGGAACTTTTCACATCAGCAAACGGCACGAAAGCGGTATCGGACGTACCATTCTAGGGAGAGTTGGTTATGTATATTATGGGCAACATAAATTAAAGTTCTTAGGCATCGCTAATAATTACTGTTTTGTCCGAGTTTCAGTATTTTCCGAGTTGCGTTTATCTGAGGCTTTCCTTTGCAAACTTCACATTTCTTTATTACTTTTTAATTTATACTTTTTAATAGAAATATATACTTATTACGAAATTCTTCATATTACATCTGTACTTTACACATTTTTAGGATGTTTATTAACATCATTGTTAAAGTGATGATCAATCTAATTTGAGATATTAATATTTTAGCTTTAGTTTGCAATTGCGACAAACTAAAGTGGCGCAGTTTATAAAACTGAAAAATGTATTTGCAAAATTTTGCATATGAATATTATTAAGATTTGTTTTGACTGAAAATAGATTTATTTTTTTTATTTTTTGATTTATTCTTGATTTATCTAATTTCTATTTATAATTGAATGTATATTATCAAAACTAAAGGAATTATGCAACAATTTAAGAAATTATAAAAATAAAAATCACTAGATTTTAACATGATATATATCTAATGTTAAAATCAATGATTGCATAATGATTATTGAACATTATTTGTATGGATTATGTAATAACCGTTACATATAATTTATCATATTTACATTAATATGATTCTTCAAATGGACTGCTAGTTATCGATCAGCACAATCAGGCGATGATCAATAAGCATATAATTGCGCGATAATTGATGTAAATTATTTTAAGTTTAAATTTCAATATTTAAGTTTAAAAGTTATTGATTATAATTAATTATTATACATAAAAATTTCGCACAAGAATATCTTACCTTGTGGACTTTCATCTTTCCTCCTGCGACGAGACTTCTTCTTTTCTTCAATATAATTCGAAGACGAAGAGTCATCGAAGTCCAAAAACTCGTGATTTTCATTCGCTGGCTTCTTCATCTCATCTTGTCTCCTCTTCAGCAGTTCGTAAACTCTCTTGAAGTAATCCTTGGTGATATCCTCATTCGATTTATTTATTAGCGAAGTCTTGCCGTTCAAATAGCCGAAATCGCTGTCGGAACCGTCGATGCCGTTTATCTTCGAATCAGAATCGTTTGCGCGTTCTTCTAGATCCTCACTTCCGTCGACGATCTTGAAGGTGTCGCTCTTCTTCACGTTCGAGCGTGTGTATAACTCTCGATAGTCCTTGAAAATGTTCTTCGAAGGGATCGAATTGTATCCGAAATCCGGAGAATTGACATTTAACGCAGACACGCTGCTAATGTCATTCCCGCGATTTTTCACTTGAATTTTGGCGATGATCGGCGATTGGCGCTCGTTCGTTTTCTTTTGCCCGACGAGCAAATAATTTTCCTGCAAACTGGTGCCGGGTCTACTGCCGTTCGTCGATGAAGCATCGCCTTCGGAAACTTTCACTGCAGCTCCTTTTTTTGTCAACAATTCTTCGTTTTCCTGACGAATCTTTTCGCTTCGATCGTAAAATGGGTCCACGCAGTTTCTCAAGTTTTGGCAGACCTTGCAAGTGCGCGAGGAGCAGAGATCGCGTTGCAGATCCTTCCATCTCGGTTTGCTCATGAAGTCCTCTTCAGGCACTTCTCTCTCCGATTCGCGACGAAGTCTCTCGTTCCTTTTCCGCTCTTTGTATTCCCGCCAGGACTTTTCCACATTTTCCTGGCTCTTTATATGTCTCAGGGGATTTGCGAGGCCCTTAGCGCTGTCTGCGTTGGCCACCATTGCCGTCATTTGTCCAAGCAAAACGTCGCTCTTGGTTTTTCGGTAGACTTTCCTTCTGTCCAGACTCGACGAGGTTTCTCTCTTTAGCTGCGATTTCAATCGATTTTCCGGTTCTAAAGCTTGGACTAAAGCGTCGCTCTTCGAGCGCCGATAGTTACGTGACTGTCTTTGAAGCTGAGAGTCCTCGGAGGATTCTCTACAGTTCATTGGCTTCTCCTTCTCCGTTTGTCTGTTGGACTTTAGTTTCTCTCTCTCGATCACTTCGGGATTGAATCGCAAAATACTCGTCTCACTGCGCACTTTTCGCGTCCTGTAGCTCTTTTGATTTTCCTCGTGACTATAGTCCGAGTATCTTTTCCTGATCCCGGCTTTTTCGATTGGTTCGGAAACGCCAGCGCGCACGGCCAATCTCGAACACGTCTCTTCCATATTCATCCGCCGCTGTATCTTTTCGCGTAGAAACGCTCTGATTCTCACCAGCTCCTCCTCGTTCATGTCATCCTTTATTTTGCGAATGATTCTATCTTCTTCATTCGGTTTAGAACTCTCCTTCGTCAAATTCTCCGTTGGAATTAAGGCGTTTCGAGTTCGCAGATACGACTTCACTTTCTTATTTTCTCCGTTCGAATTCTTACATTCGGAATTGACCGTATTGCTCCTCTTCAAATTATGATTTTCGAGATTCTTCTCGTTTTGTTCGATAGTATCCTTGGTTTCATTTCCACTGTACTCTTCCTCGCGAACTAAACTCAGCAGAGACTCGCTCTGACTTCTTAGGTACGCCTTGACCTTTCTGCATCTGTCCTTGGCAATCTCATCCGGAGTTCTTCCAACCGTATTACGTGTACGCAAATCATTCACGATTTGCTGTCGGAGATAATCCCCGGCGGAGTACGTCTTGAATCCCGCTGCTTCTTCGATGTTTCTTTCGAGCTTTGCCTTCATCGTCGGATCTTCCACGGTGGACGAGTGTCTCTTTTTACTTGTTCTTCCTTCTTTATCTCTATCTTCTACCTTCTTTTTACCTCTTTGTCCTTCTTTAATATTAACGTCGCTTCGGGATTTCCGTGGTGCAAAGTTGCATGTGCCGAATTTGCTGCTGAAGCCGTCGATATTGCGGTTACTCTGAAATGGCGTCACGACAAACGAGGCGGAAGATGTCGACGGAGAGGACGTTCGTTCTTTGCTCTTCGAGCTGCTTCGAGACTCATCGACGGGATATTGTTCATGAGTCTTCAGGCCCTCCTTGAAGGAACCTCTCGCCCGTTGCGCCGTTCGGCCGGTGGTCTCCACTAGTAATCGGCCGTCCTTGTCCAACAGCTGGATGACGGGCAGCGCGTCGGCGGACGTAGTGAGTTCCCACTCCCAGTGCAGCGGTTTCTGCAGCTTTAACCGAATGATCGGCTCCGCCGGTTCGCCAAGCCCTGTGGAATCTGGACCGACCGGACTGGAAGTCGTCGCGCTGACGATCGGATGGGCGTTCTTCATGGTCCCGGTTCTTCTCTCTGGTTCGCTCGTTCTCGCTCGAATAATCTGCCGGAAAAACCGCTTGCTCGCCCGGTCGCTGATCGTCCCGATTAATTTCTCGTCCCGAACGAGTTTGCCGTCGCTGGACTTCTTAACGGGTCCTGTCTTGTCTCGATGAGTTTTATGGGATTTGTGAAAGATCGTCGACTGTTGAATCGTTTCGCCGAAACGCGCGTTCGTTCGATGAATTTTTAGTCGTAGAATGAAGAAGCGGTTTATATAATAATAATAATAATAATAATTTTACTGAAGTGCAAATGATATAAATATCTTATATTATTATATATAATAAAAATTATATTTTACACTCTGAGAACTAATCTTATACATTGTTTAATAACATTAAGAAATGGATAAAAAAAAGTTTAATAATTAGAGTAACACTCTAATCGCGAAAATGATATTGTAGGTACACACACACTTCGATGTTCATGCTCAGACAATTTTCGATTTTTGCGTCGCGTGATTTAATGTTGCTTGCGTTCGGCCGTCGTGTCGTTCGCTTAGCGATAAACTCCGGGTTAAAACTGCAGTCCCGTTTTTCGTGTTGACTGCATACAGTATGCGCTCTCGCGTTGTGGCATTCGCTGGGCGATCACATGATCGACGACGATCGCGAGACCGGCGGGTTGCCGGTCGTTCGCTTTCGCGGGCGCGTAGTCCAAGTTCGCGCGCGTTTCATGACGTTATGTAACGCGACCTCGCAGACTTGGCAGCCTGTCAAATTCGCGACGGCGGGGACTCGAGTCAACTTTCTTTCTTCGCAGTTTGTCGAGGTGATGACAGAGAAAGAAGGAGGGATACATATACGCGTACACACATACGCACAGTTTCGCGTCACGTCTCACGTTGCGAGTGGATTCGTGGAAGATCCATCGTTCGCGCGTTCCTGCATACCGCTCGTAATTTGCAGAAGCAGACGAGTCGCTGCACTTGCGAAATGATACCACACGTGCGAGCGTTTATGTACATCTGTATTGCAGCGGATAACATTAAATATCTATATGCATACGTCTTGGCGGGGTATGTAAATATAAGCGAGATGCGTAATTTTTCGATGAAATCTTAACAAAATTTTGTTGTCGGTAATTTTAACTTTTTTTTTTTTATTTTCCAGTAATAATATCCAGTGCGAAAGGTGAGACGTACTTATTTCAAGCGTTTTATGTCAATCAAAAAGATCAAACGTCAGTTAACCGACAGCACCTCCTGAATTGCCGTGAAAATCGTAGATTCAATTTTCCAACGCTCCTGAAAACACATGCACTTTCGAGGAATATTGAGCGTAAAAGGTTTCGAGAGCGGAAAATATTTTTAATCGAGCGCGTTTAATTGCACGTGAGAAACTTTTTTGTAGCTCGTTCGCCGAGTTGGTTTGTTCGTTCGGAAATCGCGCGATCAATCACTGACTTCACGCTCGTCGCTTCTGCCCGCGTTCGGCGTTTTCGATCGGTCGATCGGGAATATCGATTAATCGTCGCGTGGACTCGAGCGGCAGACAGCCGCGGACCTCACTGAGGAATCGACAGTGTGAGAAGCGGATCCGGGGCTGCGCGGCGCGGCACTACTGTAAACGCGCTCGCGCTCGCGCTCGGTGGCGTCATACCGATCCGAAAATAAAGCCCGCGGGATCTATCGGGTAGGAGTGCAGGAATTCCGGCACGTGGGACGTGTCACGAATATCAGCGGAGACTCGCTTGTGTTGTTCTCATCGCTTGCGCACAGGTGCGTGCACGAGCATTTAGGATGCGTGGGCGTATCAGATGAACCGAATCGTATTTGATTCATTTCGTTTCGTAGGACTAGTAGATTCGAACTAACGTAGATTTTGTTGGTGTATGAAGGAATTGAAGTTATTAAGAGGAAACTATAATGAGAAATGTAACTTTGTAAAGGATCTCTTAAACGGCATTATTTAAAGGAATTGTAAAGCTTTCTTGCGTACACGGATTCAGATATTGTTAACTCTTGCAGATAATTATGTAAATTTAATGTCTTGTGTACATATTACTGTGCATCATTAGTCACTATTATTCTTCACTATATTATTCTGAAGATAAAGTTAATGTCTTTATGTTACTAAGCAATATTTATGATGTACAATTACATTGTAAAAAAATGTTACTTTTGCTAGATGGAAATAAATTAAATAATTTATAAATGATTTTATGGATCAACGAGGTAATGTTATAAAAATATGTTTTGCTGGAACGCGTACATAAATGTAAGATTTTTTTTAAGAATTTTTTTAATTTACGAGTTTAGAAACTATATTTATGCAAACGGTTTAAATTCTATTTTTAATAATATTGCGATAACTAATACGAATCTTAGATTTGTCTCAGTACTTGTTATTTCTTTTATTTATAAACTCTACTCTCTAAATCCGAATCAGTGGATAATCACTGATTCAATGCCAAATATGCCATTGTTAATTAATGAATGAAATATGGTATCCCTAATCTATAGCGAATCTTGCTTCACTGTATAAATGTAGCGCATTTATATATAGTATTGTAAGATTGAAATTACAATGTGCTAGAACGTGCATGCAAATATCGGTATTTTAACTATATAATGCTCAAACTTCTTTTCTTTTATAGATGAATTTTATTGATTATCCAGTGCCGAATGTGCTAATACAAGTATGATATGCTAATAATTCATTACCAAGTATGTTACTTCAGTAGATTATCCACCGACTCAGATTTAGAGAATAATTATTCAAGTGAATTTTATTTTGCGTCAAAACACTGAAAAATCAATAACTGACAAATGATGTTGTAAATAAATGAGTTTTTGCGGTGCAAATTAAGAAACCTTCTTTTTTACATAACTTCGAATTAATTTTGATTAAAGTCGAGAATTTATAAGAATTTAGATAAAAGAAATGGTTATTATTTCGAGACACCCTGTATATACATTTGCTGCCAAACGCAGGTCGATCAAGACGGTGATGTCAGCCAACAACTGTAGTGATCGAAGATGGATGCACCTCAAGGATGGATCAATGCCCCGCGAGAAATTTGTTTACGATCGATCGTGGGCAGGGTCGACAAACATAAATGCATATACCTATCGCGAGTGTATACAGGATTTAGACTATCCTAGCTATGTCAGTTTTGTACACTCTTCATGTCTCTATTTTTTTTTTACACACATCAAAATCAGTGACAGCAGCTATCATAAAATTGGACGTCGTAGCAGAAATCACTCTGAATAAAAATTTCTGTGTTCTCTCGTAAGTCAAAAATATTTAAACTTTTTTTCAAATTTACATTGTGCAACGTGACGCAATTCTCGTAAGCAGAGTTCGCTCCAGTCAAAGTTTCGAATTAGCATATTTCCAGATTCGCATAATACTCCTTAGGAATGCGTACTTTCCGCGATTCGCAAGTTGCATTTCATATTTTACATACGACGACGAAGAATATTTAACCGAGGAATGCACATTCCCTCCAGGTGCGCGTACTGTGTGTCTCTTCGTGAATCGCTCTCGTGAGCGAGGAATATATTTCAGCGACAGAGAAACGCGCATCGCGCAATGTCAGGCGTCATGAATAAAAAATTGGCTGGTATCCTTTTACGATCGTGCATGCTCGACGCCGATTCGCGATGCCGCGACCGCATCAAACTGGTTCACGCGTTGCTCGGTTACTCGTAACAGGCTCTTTATTTTTACTCAACGCGCCCTCGATATCGTAGAGAATTTTCGCGCCGCGCTAAATTCGGATAAGGAAACACCGCCATGTATATTCTTTCGGAATCTGTGTGCTCGTTGATCGAAACGCCGACACCAAATTCGTCTCGTGTAATTGCGATTCGGATCATGAATCGGATATCCTTGTCTTGATTTGAGTACGGTGTAGAAATCGATGACTGATTAATAGAGATAGAGTAGAAATTGCGCGATGTCTCTCTATATTTGCGCTGAGGTAAAGTTCATTACGTGTCATTAACCGATTAGCCGCGGTCCGCCGTTAAGCGGCGCGCTTATATAACTTGAGAGGGATGAGTCAAGAGGATATATAATTGCCAGAAATTGTCACCTTAGTCATCTCCAGAGATTATTTTTACCCGTATTGCATCGAGGCATATATTTCTGAGCAAAATGCAGATTTTAGCAGGAAAGAACATATATCTTTATGCTATTTCTAGCTACGATATATATAATATAAATACATATTTTATTAGATACGAATGGATTAATTTGAAATATATACTTTTAATAATGAAGTTATTTTTAATAATAATAAACACAAAATATAAAGTTTATAAATATTATGTCTTGAAAAAATAAGAGCTGGAGTAAATTTTTTTTATGCCATAAGCAACGATGAGTTTACGATAGGACTGGCGAATGATAGAAAAATTTTTATACAGCATAAAAAATAATAATTTATTTTAGCATTCAGCGGAAATATAAACGTACGGTACTGGAAATTACATCTATCTGAACGAATATAAACGAGAGTTGCACAGTTCGACAACAAATTGCATACCTCGTATAGCCAAGCATGGAAATTGGCATACGTAGTTTTTTTTATCATTTATGTATAAATCTCTCCTAAATATATTATAAAATACTATTAATGTCTTTTCTCTACCTAAAAACGCATCCAGGGAAAAGAACGATGAAATTGTTCTAGATTATTCCTTTGCATGATCGTTTTTATTCTTTCTATACGTTACTTCTAACAAGTATCCTAATTCTTTTCATTAGATATTGAATGTACAGGATATTCTCTGCACGTGACGTCTTAGTCACGATTTGCTAATAAAGAAATTTATTGTAAATATTGGATTCACTTATTAAAAATAATTTAAAGCGCAGCCTCCCCTTTAGGATGCTATCAATGTAAACTAAAATAATCAACTTCGGTCGTTATATTAAAATTAATTGTTATCATATATCACTGTCTGATGTACTTACACGAAAGAATCGTAAAAAGGAACCGCCATTCTAAAATGTATTGCTTTCTCCGAGACAGAAGACGCATTTTTTTTCAGAATGCACGTACGGAATCTGCACTTGAATCAATTTATCTATACTTCAATTAACGTTATAAAATGTATGTAATACGTATATTCAACGGAGAGATTGCTCACATAGCATTTTACAGAATCATCACTGTAATAATATATACTTACATTTATTACATGTAGTTATATATGATAATAATACGCATAGCAAGTATATGTATATGCATATAATAATACTAAATAGTACAATAAGCATTTCTAGTATGGCTAACTGAGATACGTCACTTTTAATTCGCACAATGCAGATGCACTCGCCCGTATAATAAATCATAATACTTACAATAAGTCAACAGAACTATAATTATATAATTATAGGCGCGTTACGTCTCGTTTATTGTGAAATTGCACGTTTTTTTTTTTAAAGGAAATCGCTATTTCACGATTACAGCATCATCGTAAAAAGTACTTTCGTGACGCTCTGAATCCTTATTGTATGTATAGCTGGTCAGATAAGTACTTGATAAAAGAAGATTTTACATAATCGTAATAAGTAGTTTATATTACAATATTGTTATATCAAATTTATTAAGAAACAAATTCAAAAGAGGATCAGTTTTATTACAAGAGATAAAATAATATTCGTTATTGCAGGGAACATTTAATATTGCGCGTTTTTATATTATAAATTAATCATATTATTTCTTAGTCTATGATGACTATTTCATTTAAACAACTTGAGAGAGAGAGAGAGAGAGAGAGAGAGAGAGAGAGAGAGAAGAAATATAATACAGCTTATATATTAAATTGATGTCAACGAAAGTTACTTTTTGCGGCGCTTTATATTTGCAAATGTATTAAATCTAGTCATGTTCAGACTTAAGTTAATCTTGAAACCAGTCTTGAATCCTAGCCTGGACCAGTCTGTACTAAATGAGCCGAGACACACGCGCGCAATATAAATGGTGCAACAAGTGATATCGCTGCTATTCTATCCACGTAAATTAGAGAAATGAGATACGCGCGATTTTCCCGATACACCGTGTCGTCGAAAACTTACAGGGAAGATCTCGACAATAACAGAGCTACAAGCAATCCTCTTAGAAATATGTATCTAAAATATTCACAGTGCTCAAAGCTAACGATACACGGAGCTCCCAAGGGAAGAATAGATCTACGCGAGATGAATTTTTAGTTTCTGTATAATCGTACACGTGCTCCTTTTACATGTAGTATTTTCTTTATTTTTAATCTGAAGTAGTATGCTTACAATTTTTTGAATTATTTTGAATACATCATCTAACAATTAGACGAAGTCCATTTTTTAATGTTATTTAGTTAAAACAATATTATAAATATATTATGACACGCGATTATTTGAGTAATGTATACATTGTATACGTTCAAGACAATTTTAAGATTTTTTCATTCATTATTACTATGTAACCATTATTTATTATACTTGCTTTTGTTATAGCATTGAACTAATTTTTTTAACATAATCATAAAAATAATAAGGATCTCATACACGTATAAAAATTTCCCCAATATACTAGTAATAATTCCGTACTAGATTACAAAATAAAATTTAAAAAAAAGAAGAGAGGAAAGAAATTGTGTAATGTCGAAGAAATATAGAGTATTTTACGAGTTACAGACCGAACAATTGCTTAGCGGAAAAGAAAGTATTTTTCCATCGCGTAAATATCTTTCCATAAATCGACCAAATTCGTTCACGGTCGAGAATATCCAGACCACATTGCAGTTAAAGCACTCGAGCTAGAATAGCGGTCTGTTTGCCGAGCGATTCATTGTTATCCTCAAATCCTTTTGGAGCACACGGGAAATTTGGTCATTTAAATCCAATCGTTGCTTTTATCGAAATGTGCGTGACCGGCTTATTGGATTTATGCGTATAGCGTATTTCGCTTATTGAAACATTTAGTTAAATAAATAGTTTTAATAGATACATTAATGCTATTCTTTCTCTTTAAGGTTTAAAGTTGTTATATAATAAATTTACGATATAAATAATTAAAAAATTAGAGCGATATTTTATAGCGATATGAGTTTTATAGAGAATAAAGAGAAAAGGTTAATATTTTGCGTTAAAAAAATCGGACTTTATCTTCGAGATAAAATATAAATCTAAATGTATGCAGAACTTATGTACACACGGTGTACATTAACAGGCAGAAATTACTTTTTAGCAGACATTGCAGCGTTGTAAAATCTATTCTTCAGTTGGTAGCGAAAATCAAAATGCTTACGCAAGGATTCACGCGGTACAATTTCTTTGAGACTCGGAGCAACGACGACTCGTAAAGGCTACGTGTGTTATCTATATAGTACAGTAAAATACGAGCTGTGGGGTTTCTGGTTTTAAAACGAAGCGGTTAATACCTGAATTCTGCACGTGATCTGTTACTGCATATATCTGAAAAAGAAAAAACAAACAATTTATTTTTCAAATATAATAATATGAATTTATTTTTTAATTTAAATTTTATTTATTTATTTCAATAAAACTTTAATTTAAAGCTTAGTAAATTCAGGAAAGTATTATAAAAGTATTGTGTTTAATAAAATGTGTGTTCAAGAATTTCTAATTAGAAGGATTTACAAAATGTAATATGTGATCAAGAAGTACACAAAAAATGCTCATAAACGATATAATAACACTAGTTTACAATAATAAATACATTGAAGTAGACAATATGTCTCTTATATTTTGAATGCTGAGAAACTCGCTGTCAGTTAGTTAAATTTTCCCAACACGTTAGGCTTTTGAAATAATTGAGATTTAATATGCAAAAAATGACTTTTTTGTCATTATTTTTATAAAAAAGATTAACATTATCTTAAAATTCTAATTAGAAATCACGTATTCATTTCCTCTATAAAATGTATTTTTTAAATTTCAGTATTTTACTTTTTAGCCAAGTTATATATGTATATGACGAAGGAAAGAAAAATCATTAAATCTCATTTGTTTCGAAAACCTGACGTGCTGAAATTTCGTTTGTGACATTCCCATATCCCATATTAAAAAAATTATAAAAAACATTTTGTCTGGTTTAGTAATTAAAAAAAAAACATTTTTAAAAAAATTAGTTTCATTACTATTAGATATGATTTATTAAACAATACAACTTAAATTTCGCTACTGACCTGAGTCACGGCTTTTCGTGGTCGGAGAGTACCTTCTCCGACGTACAGCGGTTTCTCCGATTTTGCAATTTCATGGACAAGCTTCTGATTGAAATCCTGTGAGAGCGGTATTCCAGGAGCTCTCCTCTTTTTCAATGTATTTGTATCGGTATCCACAATGATCCTCGCGGATTCATCTTTGCCAAAAGTTTCTGAGTGAATTACGGTGTAGCCGCCCAGGAACTGTACCGACTTCTTCGCGATCTTAGTGAACGGCGCACGTGTCTCCTTATCGAATATATGTGAGCCGCTCTTTTCATACTCCTCCATCTTCGATCCTATTTTTATTGTTTTGTAAATTGGATTGTGGAAAGAATTTTCCGGGACCCTCGGGACAAACGTCGAAAGTTGAGTTTTGTTAGACGTTCCGGGAAGGTCGCAATCATTTGATTTAACACTTCTGCCTCCACCTTTCGTTTCCTTTTTCTTCGTTATTACTTCCGGCCGCTGCGAGTTTCTCGCAGCAAGGGGCACCGCTTGGCTCTTCATGAACTTACGCCTAGCTACTTTCTCCCTATCGTTAATTTTAGAATGTTTCTCGACGGTCGTCGCGTCGCACCGAATCTCGTAATACTTAACGAAACTCCTAACTTTACCCGGGGTTATCGTTACAACGTCGCAAAACGATTGGTCGTTACTTACGTTAGCTACGGGTGTTACGGCCCTGTTATTGTCATTATTATTATAAGGGTTTACGGAAGTAATTTTCTTAGCTATGGCACACTTATCGCAGCTACTCGTATCCTCTACTAATACTAATGCCGACCGATTCGTGATCCTCCTTCGATCATCATCGGCCTGATCATTCGCGATTACTTCGTCAGTCTTTTCTTTGCCGCGAGTATGAATCTCCCTCGAAGCTCTTTCGCGCTTCCTGCCGTTTTCCAGGCTATTCTTGCGCGATGCATCTGCGATCGCCTTCAATTCTCTACTGTCGAAAATCTTGTTCATCGTTGTAGGTGCCCCGATGGGAATTCTCTTTTGGGATTCGTTCTCTTTATGTCGCTCGCGCTCAATATTAGTTTTCTTAAGTATCGTCTTGGGAATACGAATATCTCGTGATTTTTTAAGCTCTCGATTCTCGACCGTATTTTTTACGGGTTCGGACGTTTGCTCAATTTTTGTCTTTATATTGATCTTTTCTGATTTAATATCCAAAGAATTTTTGCTGATCATTATTTTGGAGTTATCTTTTGCAACTTTATGTTTGATGTCGCAGGATTTATTATGATTTTTAATTTCAATACTTTCATTTTTTATAATTTTCTCACTAATCGTTGGAGTGACATTCTTGAGATTTTGAGGCTTTTCCTCGATGTTTATTTTCGTAATGTTTTTTTTTTCTTTTATCATTTTCTCAACGATTGGTGTAGCGTTATCTACATTAGTAATTTTCGTATTTAGAAGAACGCTGCAAGTCTCGTTTCGAGATTTTTTAAATGATTTAGATGTGTTCTCTTTTTCTTTGGAAATTCTACTATTGATCCGGCATGATATCTTCTCATCTATCTTTGTTGTTAATTTCTTATTTTCGGGACTCACTATTTTCAATTTTATATTATTAAAATTGCAGAGAAGTTCATTCAGCACGTCATTTTTTACATCACTGACACTTTTATTCTTTGATTGCGTTGATTTTACATTCAAAATCTTGACGATCTTTTCTTCCATTTCGTTGGAGTCGTTAAAAATGTTTTGCTTCTTTGTATCCATTTCTGTCGCATTACAGAAATCACGCGAATGTTCACTTTCCGTCGTAAAATCTGCATCTAATTTCCGGATTTTATTGGGTGATTTATTAGTCGTGCTTAATTCTTTATCCATGCTTGAAGTTACAGAAATTGCCGCATAATTCGAGATAGCTGCTGAATCATCAGATAACATAGTTTCCAAAAAAGAATTTCGCTTAACTTTCACGGGAACACTCTTCGCGAAAATATCTTCCGATGACAAAACTGTATCATGGTTATTCTTGGAATCTTTGGAAAAATTACTTTTTTCCTTATTCTCTTCAAGTAATCGAGTTTGTTCGATTTTATCCGACTTGTTTATAAGATTATCAGTGGAAACGTTCTTGCTCGATTCACCATTGTCATTATGTTCGTTTTGGGATGACTCATTGAACAATAATTTTTCATTCTTGACAACACACTTCTCTTTGATGTCATTGCTACTTTTTTTCAAAAACATTTTCTCTTCTCGGTGTGTTATTTTTGTTTCTTTTTCAATTCTGCTGGCTATTTCTAAACTGTTATCTGGAACGTTCTCCACGACTCCTGAAGAAGCATTACTTTGATCCACCTGTTTTACATCGTTTGCAGTAATTTTCTCCGTTATTACGTTTTTTTTCCCGGGTTTGAAAATCTCCTCGCTAGCCTGCACATTCCGCGGTATCAAATCAAAATCTTCCTCCCGAATTTTCTCGCAATTAACGTCATTATTTCTATCGTTACAATACATTTGCGGAATCGCCTTTAATTTCACGTCAACCTCGTTTACTTCCATTATAAAAGAATCGTCTTCTCCCGTCGCGGAATTTCTTTTGTCGACACTCGACGTGTATGATTTATCTCGTGCATTGTCGCACCAATCTTTTACATCTGCAAATTCCTCTCGGATTTCAGTCAGTTTCACGGAAAGAACGGCGCTTTGTTCGCCGGCCTGTTCATTGTTGAGAATGGATTCGTGGCTCTGTGAACTGTCACACGGCACACTAATTTTTACATTAGATTCGCGTTTGGAAGAACTTGGCGATTCAATCATGAATCGTACTTTCGTACTTACGCGACATTTCGACTCGTCACTATTATCGAAAACATTATTATAATCAAACGATCTCTTATCATTTACTCCATCATTTTCGTTCGTGCTATCTTCGAATCGGTACTCGTCAAACTTCCGAGCGAAGTCATCGTCAAAAGGATCTCTCCATTTGTCTAAACACTTTTCGAATGGAAGACTCGTTGTCGTCACACGAAAACAGACGCTGTTATCATCCAATATGTGCGCTTTCGTCGATTCTTTCTCGTGTAAATTTTGCGAGTTCTTAGGACCTACAGAATCGTTTCTGTTCCATGTATCGGACACTATATTTTCGAAATCGTGCAAAGTGAAAAAGAGCGGTGGATATTTGTCGATTGCCTTCTGCTTAGATGACGACGCAACATTGCGAGAAGATGATTTCGTTACGATCGATGGAAATGGCGGTTTCGATACGATTGACTTTGGAATTGGATTATTATTTGCGCTGTTGCTTGATGAGTTGTCTCTTATGGATGTCGTATTGTCACGACGTTTTACTTCGATCATCTTCGACGCAGTGACGCGATTCTCGCGATGATGTTGCTCTGTGTCGGCTCTTGGACAGTTTGCCGAAATGTCGCATTGCGGCTGGAGGGTTTCGACATATCCAGAATTGTTTCGTCGACATTTTTCCAGTAGAAGCGGCGGCGGTGAACGTTTTTGCTGAGATATCGCGATGTCGTTCGTGGTTTCTGTTGCACCGTTGCTCGCCACCGACGATTCGATCGGCGCAATCTTGATTTTACGTTTCGTTCGTCGCGGTGGCACAGGTGGTTCAGTCGAATTTCCGTTATCTGCCATAGAAAAAGATTTGGGATTTTAGAGAAAGATTCTTCAATTTCGACAGAAGATTTTGAAAAATGAGAGATTTCAATAGAATTCGAAAGTGATACATTATTTATGACATTGCTGTTACATTTGTTACTCTTACAATTGTACATAATACAAATGGTGAATATATGTTTAGCGAACGAACTTAAATCTAAAACTTAAACACGAGAAGGTAACCACGACGGCAGACTGTCCGAGACATACTAAAGATGATTCCTTAGGAATGACACATAGATTTCCCCTTCCTGGGACACGGTCAATACCAATGCTCATATATAATTCCTAAGTTTTAAATTCATGCTAGATGTAATTTCATTAAAGTCAGGGACATGAAAACATTACGTAATGTTACTTGAAAAATTCAAATATATTTTTTATTGCAATATAAAATTTGTTGTACATTATATAAAAGGTATGTGATATATTGTATATATATTGTATATTGTATAAAAAGTATATATGAAAGCATATGTTATATAAGTATCTTATTTAAACTTTGGTAATTTAAAGAGACAGATTTAATCAACAAATATTCTATTTTATTTTGTAAAATTATATTAAATCTGCTGAGAAGCAGAAAAAGATTATTCTTATTTTTGCAGTTTTTTCTCAATATTTTTAATTTAAACCGACCAAGAGTAGCGAAAGTTACGAACTTTAGTAGCTCCGACAAGGGCTTCGCTAAGCGGATAACAACAATTCGATTACACTCGAAGCGAGGGCTATCGTATGTTCGGTACAATCATGTATGGCACAGTGGAGATAATAGTCTTTTCGCAAATAGAATTTTCTATGAGATTCCGTCATATACAATCAATAACAATGGAAAATGTAATAATTCGTTGAAAGATTTTTACGTCGACAAAAATTTATATATAAATACGCGGATTATATAGATATAATCACTTACCTAAATAAAAACTTGGCGACTTGTCCTACTGATGTCGAAATCTTCTATAGATAGCAACATACTGGCAGATTTTAGTGCGTTATTGTCAACGAGATCAGTCATGTACAGGCTGTTGGTATTATTGTGATTGCCCATAGCGCTGGATGCGGCACTACTATATGCGCTTGAAGTGTTCTGCACCGACGCTACATCCGTGGTTTTCTGAACGATCCACTTGTTCATCATGCTGGACGTTTCTGCTTCTGATGACACGTCGAATTTGATATCACTGCGAACGAGATGGAGAATAAAAGAATTAAATCTGGATATAGCGAAATTTTTTTGTGTGGAATAAAAATGATTAATCCGCGAAATTAATCCGTTGTATTAATTTATATCAGTTCAACAAGCAATATAATATGCTGCAGTCTATGCATAATTTATCCGAACTATTCGTTAAATAAATTTTTGCGAGACAGATTTACAGTTTTTTTTTAGTAAATTATTAATCAATTATATCGCCTGAAATACTCACTGTAAGTAATTGTTCTCTACAGAGCCCTGGTCTTGGTCGTTTCTCGTTTCTAAGTTTTTTCGAATAGCAGGCTGCGAAAGAACCAACTCAACCGTTTCGGACGAGCTCTGCAGCATCTTCAGAGCATCTTCATAGCGAAGGTTCAGTAGATTCTGTCCATTTATTGCTACAATTCGGTCACCTGTCGAGAAAAGTTTAATTAACGATATTTAATTTTGTACATCTAATTAAATTTGCATCTATTTGTGTTACTTTCTAATTTAAATCTATTTATTTATTTATATATTTCATTATATTGTCTTTTTTCAATTTATCCATTCGTTATCATTATAGTTAACTGCAATGATGCATTGTAGTTCATTTTAACTATAATCTCGACTACGAGTCAGATAGACGCTTTTATCTTGAAGCAACATAAACATTTTACTTTCGAACCTTTGTTTACGTTTCCGGCCATATCGGCTGATCCGCCAACGGAAACTGCTTGAACATAAACGCCACCGTTATTACCCTCCATTACTTGCAAACCTATGCTACCACCGTGGCCGCGTTCCAATTTGATCGTATGCAAAATTCGTTCTTCGGCGAATGACAGCTCTTCTAAACGAGCCATTAAAGATGCAGATATCGATTCGTCTTCAGGAATCCGGAAAGTTTCGTCGTCAGTTCGTATATCAGCATCTATAGAGGTAAAAAATAATCGTGAATTTTATTATAAAACTCTTATCCCAACAATGATATTTATGATAAACGTAAATAACGCAATAATAAATGTAAATAAAATGTTTGTAAAAATTATTTGTAAACAACAATGAGAATCAGCTATTCAAATATTTAATTTATTTAAATAAATTTATTATATAGAGTTGCTTTTGAAAGTTTCAAGAATTCATAAGAATATTTTTGTATCAAAATGACTCATGTTTTGAACTTGTAGAATTTGCTGTAAGTATTTAATCACAATGTTAGAAATAATTTTTAATTACATAAACACAATTAAAATTATTTTTATAATCATTAATTATTATAATTATTTGTATAAAAGAAATTTTCTTATGTGAAAAATATATTATTACTTACTCAACACGTATGCTTCCGGCATGGGTGATTCGGTAGATCGTGCTGATAGTGATTGAATAGACGATTCGGTATCAGACTTTAGAGACAGTGATTCCGTATCGTCGGTAAGCGCGGTATCTTTCTGAACTAAACTGCTGTAAATCGCTCGCGTACCCATTTTCACACCCAATCGACGCGGCAAGCTAGGTGTACGAAGACCACTCGATTGCTTCGATGCACCATAATTCGGTAAGCTAGAAGCTTTCATCTAGAATGATAACATTGTCTTATTAATAGAGAAATAATAAATAAATATCTAGAAAATAATTAGATTGAAAGTTTAATAGTAGATTCGAATATTAATAAATAATGAGAGAATAGTAAACAATAATAAAATTTACAATAAAGATTAATGAGAGTACGGCACAGTGCTTCGTGCGTAAAGCTGCATATTTTATATTTAAGTTAAGTAAGTCTTAGGGTTAGTAGTTTCAGCTACATTTCGAATCATTTTCAGTGAAATTTCTTTAGATTCCACTCTCTTATCGAGGTAGAACGCTACTTTAATATAATTCCTAATCTTTTATATTGATTGGAACTTCGGATAAAGACCATCAAAAGGTCAAATGGATAGTCCAAGAGCGTAACAGTACAAATTCTCTTTCAGAAATAAAATACAAAACTACACAGTTATGTTTGATAAATAAAAAAATAAAATTATAAGCGAATCGAAAGTTAGAAATAAAAGAACAATTTCATTTCTGAAAAATTTTACTTTCAATTTTATTTCTTGGCTTATTCAACACAATGCGGTTTTTTATTTATTTTATTTATTTCTGAAAGAATTTTTACCCTTACGCTTTTGGTCCTTTGGTCTATTTGAAACAATGTTCATCTGAAGTTCCAATCAGTGTGAAAGATTAGGAAATAGCATTGAACAACTTTATCTGGAAGCGTTAGGTTTAAAGAAATTTCGTTGAGGATGACTCGAAATGTAGTCGAAACATTCGACTTTATTGTTTAACTGAAGTATATACGACACTTTGCGCACGAAGTACCGCTCTGTACTTTAATTAGCTGACTTTATTGTACATTTTATTTCTAATATCGAAAGTCTTGTTACATTTCCTTTTATTTAAATAGTTAGATCCGTATTCGGAACATGCTTTTATCAATAAACGCTTGCTTTTATTTCTAACATTGTAGAATATATGTAACATAAATGTATGCTAAATTCACGCTAACATTGTTATAAGCATGTTTTGAATATGGAATTAAAATGTAATTGATAAAATGTATAAAATATAATTGATATATACTACCTTTTGCAATGTTTTTTTAATGTCTGACACATTCCAAACTTCGTCCGGAACAGGGAACTCCTTCTTTCCTGATAGTCGAACTTTATTAATAGCGGCGTATAGTTCTTCAGGATTGTTAGGTTTATCTAGCTGATTAATGTTGTTTGACATAACTTTTGGAAGCGAATATGTACATTCGGTTTCAGCCTCGCTGTCTAAACCGGAACAGCCGTAGAGTTTATCATGCTCCGATTTTGTTTCTTTGGGTTCCAACAAAATCTTGTGCGGTATGATTAAACCTCTCTCTGATTCATCCTCTGTGTCTCGCGATTGACCTTCTGGTTCTAATCGCACGTTTACTTGTGCATAAAGAGCATCCTCTTCGGATGAATAAAAGGCGGGTTCGCGACCAGCGTCCTTCGTTGCCGTCACTACAATTGGGTCTTTCTGAGGATTTTCATTCTCCTTATTTTGGTATTCCTCTAATTGCATCGGATAATTTATTCTCTGCTGTACTTTAACCACGCTCGCGATTGTTATCTTAGTTTTACTATCGAGGCTCTTGGGTTTTAATGGTGTAGGTTTTACTTCCGTCAGGGGTACTCCAAATTCTAAAACATGATGTAGATTGATTTTTTCTAGATATCTTTATATAAATGTTTCAAGAAAATAACATTTTACAAAATTTCTTTGGAGTGAAATCTTACTCTATAGAATGAAAATTGAGCCAGTTTTGAAAAAGAATAGCTCAATTTTCAATCTTTAAGAGTGAGGGAGATTCACTTTAAAAGTTTTAGAGAGTATATTAATTGTTATACTTTGAAAATTTAAAAAATTGGACAAAAATAAAAAATACGAAAAAATAAAAAAAATATAGCAATTAAAATATTAGAGTTAAAAAAAGTTTTTAATGATTCCTGTCAGATTATCCGTCAGATAATCATCGCTGAAAATTTCGATTCAATTATTCGCGATATTTACATTTTAAGATTTCCATAAAAAAGGAAGATCAACATCCTTGCGATAAAGTGTTACAATTTAGTTAGTTTCCTGTCTTGAAACTTTCGTGGAAAGTTCTAAACATTTCAGCAAGCTTAATCGGTAGGAAAGAGCGCGTGTTACCTTTAGCGAGGCCTTGAAGTGACGTGAGCTCCGAACGAAGTCTGAGGAAGAACTGATGATGCAGGGATGTGAGCTTGAAGGCGAAGTAACTTCTAGAAAATAGAAAGATTCTTTATGTAAACGTCGTTATTATAAGCTGATAGAGGAAGCACTCAATATACATTTTCGAAGCGTTCATCGACGTTCCATTTAAAACTGTTCGTTCGATCGATCTTCGAAATTAGAGCAAACTTACTTTCGATGATCCATCCGTAGTTTGAACTTGCAGCGTTTCCCATTCAGCTTGCTGTATACCACCAGACAGCTCTTGCTGTAACTCAATGTCTGCACGTCTCGCCACTGAAAATGGGCCAATTCCGTTCTTTCCCTTGGCTCGCCCCCTCGCTCCAGCAACTTCAACCCTTGAGAATGTATCGCTAGCCACACATTGCTCTCTGTCTTTTTCTTGCTGCTTTTACTATTTTTGCTGTTATTACTGTTAACACTATTAATGTTGTTATTGTTATTTTTATTGTTGTTATTGCGTGTTTCGTCGCGGCATAAATCCGCGTTCTTCACGTGCTCGTCCGAATAGGGTATCATCGGCATATTCTCGCGGGAGTTTAACCGCGAGATTCCGATTCTGCCATAAGTGGAACAAATATCTCGAGCAGGTTTCTCCTTGCGATGAGCTTTTCCTGCACCGTCGAGTGACGACACAGCATCACGGTTGTCGGACACGGTACTCTTCCCCTTTCTCTGCCGCGTTATCAGTTTCTCTAACTCCTTCGAGTCTACTGTAGCAATGTAGTAGTGCGAACCGTAATCCGGCAGGGACTGCGCGTGAGTTATGAACATCTCCTCGGCTTTGTTCGAGTCCAAGCCACGGCGGTCGCGGTGAGCGCGATGTAGTTGCGCCCGAAGTGTATCGGCGTCGACGCAGGGTTGCGATTGATGTCGGTCCGCGTTCAATATCAAAGACTCTGGCACGTAGTGCTCAAGGAGGAAGTAATCTCCACAGCCATGCTCCTGTGGGATATACAATAGCTCTGATGTAAAACAGCGAAATTATGTACTGTATCAGAATTGTTGTTAACTCTCTCATAATAGATCAAAATAATAACAATCGACTATTTACTTAAGCTCGGGAATTATGCAACTATTGATCTCTGATGTTGCTAATTGAATATAGTTTAATAATTTATACACAGTATGGAAATTATACAGTATTGTTATATGTATTATATATTATAGTATTTTATATATATATATATATATAATACATTTTAACATTTAATTCAGGAAGTATTGATAGGTGGAATAGAAAATGTTAATTCTGAAATATTTGTTTCTTTTAACCAATCTTACTTAAATTTTAGTTTCACTTACTAAAATTCATCATTTTAGGAAGTCTTTAATATCGAAATTTTTGAATTTGACCATCATTGGATTCACATATATGAAAATTCTTAGACTTTATAATATATTGTGAAGTAAAAATTAATCGTATTTCATGTAAGAAACGTAGATTCTTTGCAGAATCACAAATATTTTCTGTTACAATTTTTCATTTTATGTAATTTTAATCTAATTATTTGGAACTTAATAGTCATTTTGTAACATTTAATTGTTTCGTGGCGGTAATTTCATTTCAAATAGCGTGCATTACATAAATCACTGGTTAACTCACATTGGCGTTGTAATTCCCGAATTCAGCTTGAAGTGCGAGGCCCGTCAAATTGATTAATTCGGAATATGGGCATACCAGCTGCTGTTCCAGTATACATCGCCTTATTTGTAGATATAGCAAATGCTTCGATATCCAACTCCTGAAAACGATACGAACGTTAGTCGAGTCGTATATATTGCCATTTTTTAGTTCGAACTAACCTGGTACCACGAAGAGATGGTAGGAAGAATCGGAGTCGCAGGTACAGCATGAAACTAGTCGGTAGACCCAGCAAACCTTTGCTTTTACCGCTGCTTAACCATCCCGGTGGTGCGACTTTATTTAATTTTGTGTCGGGTGGTAACATCGCGAAATCCCCGGCCAGTAGTACGGCCAATCCTAGAGTGAAGTTTTCATCGAGGCTTTCCGCTTGAACAATAGCCTGGAAGGATTTGCGTATACATTGTATAAAATATATATATCACAAAACGTGTCTGAGATTAGTTAAGTTCATATATGTTAGTTTAACTCATAGTAGTTTTAATACTGCGGATCTAAAGGGGTGGTTATATAAATGAATATTATTTTATAAACGTAAATATAATATAATTATTTATTATACGAATTTCTAGCATGTATTGATAGCACACATTTGATATATATTTCTATATTTGTTACTTCTACTTATGCAAGAAACTGTAAGAAACGGGAGCGGGAAAGCTAAAATGATGTTCGTAAATTATGATTCAGCGCGAAATTATTATGCGAGACAAGCAATTAAATGCAGACAGCATGGGTGTGCATTTGATTGTTCTAAAAGATTATCATAGCGCGACATGATACGCATTTCGGCCGCAGAGATAATTTTCTATTGTCGCGAGTCTGCAGGAGTAATCGAATTTGAAAGTTCTCAGCGAGCTCTTGGGCGTTCTAAATCGACCATTTATTAAAAATTGTACGATAAAATACTCCGGTCACGTCCAAAAGTTCGAATTAAGTGGCAGATACAGAATTGCGAGCTTGAAACCATCTTTTTTTAGATTAGTGAAATTAAATGCTATTAAGAATATATCAGAGTCTCTATAAAATGTGACTGTGAAATTGGAAATTCCAATATAAAAATGAATATTATTATACATATACATACATGAAATAGTTAAATAAGGTCGGTATATTTATATTTATTATATTTAATGATACCTTTTTCTAGTTTAAATGAAAATTTTCTCATTTTATCTTAATTTATGACCCAGATTCTAAATTACTGCTAAACTTTTTGAATTGCTTTCAGATACAATATAGAAAAATTTGTAATTTTTTCATAAATTTATCATTTTGTGTTAAAAAATACATGTAATATATTCTAAAATTCTTTTGCTTCATTTTGTGCTTTAGTAGTTTCATAAAAAAAAGAGAGAACATTGTATAAGGTATAACAATTTAAAAAATATTAATTATTAATATAGCGGAATGATGTAATTGTTTTCAATTATTTATCGCAATGGTTTTAGTTTACATAATTTTATTTTAACTATAATATTCCTATAATAGTTCAAAATAATACTGCTGATCGATCGATTTATTCATTGGTAGTATTACAAGAAAAGTGTCTCTGTAATGGTAGTTTTGAACAAATGTTGAAGCACAGATTTTTATGGAAGAAGGAATTGCACAATACGTTCGTCGTCGAGATCACATAACTCGTGGTTTGTGGATCTGTCGTATATAATGATTAGGCTTGGCGGCTCGCCAGAACTTCTCGCGAGTTCACGTCGGAATTTGTGGTCTCGTAAACAACCGGCCACGTCTTGGCTTTCGCGGCCTAAGTGTGGCTTTGAGAGGCCATCGTCGCGCGAACATTACGATCGAACGAGTTCCGTTCGAGAATGGGGGGATAAAGCATATTTTTTAAAGGGTTTTTACTGGGATACAAACCAGCAAAATACATTCTTCCGCATAGCCAGCAAATGAAAAATAATTCTTTTACGAAGCTCTCGCGAGATACGATATTTATTTCACTTATATGCAATTTATTAGTGTTCTGAAAAGTAACTCTACAGAAAAAAATTTTACAAGGCAAAAAGTTCATGCGATAAACACACGGGATAATACGATTGAAGAATATCACCGAAAATTGATTTCTGAATTATTTCATTTAATTTGATTAATTTATACTGGCGCTTATTACTGTTTAAACGAATGATGTTTATTACTTCATTATCTTTTGGATTAACATATTACATGTATAAATTTGACAACGCGAAGGAAATGGCCATTAATCATTAGATTGATTTACAGATAAGTGAATGCCATTTGCGAATGACTGTCAATGAAGAGTACTTAATGATTACAAATTAAGATCAATGCGTTTTTAATATTTTAAATTACGGAATTTTAAACTTTGGAGAATGTTCCTGGTCTAAATAATTTTCTCATTAATAATCTTCGAAAAATATTGAATAAAAACTGCATAAAATATCGTATTTTTTATTCAACTTTTGATTAAAACTTGCATTATTTCATTACTGTTGATAGAAATTTAACAAAATTAGTTACGCGCTTTGACTTTTCAATAAACTTACCTGAAATAAATCTCCGGCAGTAACCTTCTGAGGATCACAGGTTACTTCCACGCGTTGTCCTGTTAGCATTATTACAACTATCCGGCCAGAGTTACCCGCCTACACAAATAAACGAGTTATTAGTTTATCATCATTATATTTATCATCTCTCTCTCTCTCTCTCTCTCTCTCTCTCTCTCTCTCCCTCCCCTCCCCCCTTCATGTTGATACAAATATTTATTTAGATCCATTTCTCTTGCATTAAAGAAAATGTTATATTTCTTCGTACAAAATATAGGATTATTTATTTTACGAATTGCATAGAATGCCATAGAAAATACATCTCTGTTTATTATCACTTCGATACTAATATTTATGAAAATATTAAAACACGAAAATGATAAATTATTAATATATTAGGTGTTGGAATTAATTCGTAGCGTTTTTAATGAAAGAATGTTATTTATTTCACATGAGCATTAAAAAATACATTAATGAAAGTACTTCCCATCACTTGTAAAACGCTACGAATTAATTCCAACACCTAATATTTTATACAAAAATATAGGAACTCGAAATATATAAAACATTTATTTTAATTAAATAAAATCAATATTAATTTGGAGTAAAAATAAATTAATTAATTCATATTAATTGTTAATTTTTTTTATTCAAAATTTCTGAAATTATACTAAAATAGTCTATATTGCTTACACAATGCATATATATAGTAAAGTCGAGGGGGGATACCAAAATCCGGTATGGTCTAGTGGCTAGGATACCTGGCTTTCACCCAGGAGGCTCGGGTTCGATTCCCGGTACCGGAATATTTTTTTACTCTGTCTTACCTTTGTATAGCTATAAGTATATTCTTAAGAGCATCCCTAAATGTAATCCGGTATGGTCTAGTGGCTAGGATACCTGGCTTTCACCCAGGAGGCTCGGGTTCGATTCCCGGTACCGGAATTTTTTTTATTCAAATTTAGCAAAATAAGATAATTTAAATTATATCGCAAAAATGTGCAAATAAAATTTATAGAATTAAATAATCTAGTTTTTATTAATATAATTTTTTAATATTTTATCTGCGAAAGATGATTAAGGTATTAAATTAAAACAGATATGTTTTATTTTACATATATTTTGAAAATTAAATATATATTTTTAAATAAAATATTTTTCTTTTTTTACGTTTTATTTCATGTTGAATAATTGCTTAGTAATATTATTGTATGGATTCATTAATTACTTTTGTTTTATTTTGTAAAATAAATTTATATTTTGCGATATATAACAATGTATTATATATTTTTTATTTTAAAAGTAAAGTGCAATATTACTGATAATAACTTGATGTTCGAACTTTAGCCTCCTCAATTTCAAATCCGGTATGGTCTAGTGGCTAGGATACCCGGCGTTACCACACGGGGGTCGCGTT